ATTACTTCGAATTATACTTGATTATCGTTTTACAAATGATCATCGATCTATTAGTCAACAAGAACGAAATCAAATAACTTCTTTCTTTTATTTTTTTAGTCATTTATCGAAGTTAGTAAAGTTATTTTTTTTGCTCTCTAATCTATTTTTCTCTTGTAGTTCTAATGTTTTACTTATTGAAGAATTAACATTTGATCTTATTACTCATTGTTTACCATTTATATCTAATAATAGTACAATAGCTTATAAATCAATTTTAACTGAATCAATGTCTTATTTTTGTATTGAACTTCTTTCATTATTAACTTTACCAACCGAAGAATATTCACATTACAATCTTGCTAAAAATCTTCTTGAATCAATTCATAATTCAACAAATAATAGTACAATATGTATTATAAAATCTTATTTAAATACAATAAAACATCTTCAATTTCAATATATGAATAAACAACAATTAAGTATTATTTTACAATTAATTATTCAACTTCGACAAGTATGTGATTTTTTCTTATTGTTGAAATCATATTGATTATTATTTAGTATCCAAATCTACCAATGATTATAACAAATTCAATTAAAAGCATTCATGATCAAATACAATCATCTTTGAAATTAATTGGAAAACTGGTTAGTCAATGAAATTATTTAGCTTGACAATTAGATTTCTATAAGATGCATTAACTTCTGACTGAACAATAAAATATCATTTGAGGATGTTTCTTTATTAATCTTTCTTTTAAAAGTCACTTGAAAATAATTCTTCACTATTTATTTAATCATAGTTTTTGATATTGATTCGATTTCTTTTTCAGACAAATGGCAATAATGATGATGATAAACGATCTCGTTCACCTTCACAATCATCTCCGACAAGTGTTAAACGTCTTGCTTTATCATTTGATCCACCAATAACTTCTTCACCAGCTATACTTTATGATCGAACTAATCAAATGACAAATAACAATATGAATCAATCAACACAAAAAGGCATTAAACGAAAATTAACTACACATCAATATACAACACTTGATTTTGAAAATGATCCAGATAATTATTTCTAATCTTTAGTTTTCTATATAATTTAATTGAAATGTTTTTATACTTGCTTATTTTATGCTGATATTATTTTGAACTTATAGTAATTAAATACAAATAGAATAGAATAGAATAGGAATTATATATTTCTTAGAAATATGCATGACATGCAATAAGTAAGACAATACTAAATATAATTATTGAAGTTGTTGTTGTTGAAATAGTTGCATGTTTTACTAAATTTTCTTTCAAAACAAAATATTGGAAAAATAACAAAGAATATCTATAGAAACTGACGCACAACTTAACAACGGTAAGTCGCAGATGCCTTAAGGATGGCGCACCACAGACATCTTAACAATGGCTTGTCATACATGTCACAGATCATGGCAGACGCTGACTAGAGATTGTGATACATTTGAGCAGAATGGACAGATCTTTTGGAAAGTCAAAAAAGTTTCTGAAATATCGACTTTTCTGATTTTGTTATTATTCACTGGTTTTCTCGATTGTTGAAATGTTATATCGTAGCTTTGTTAGTGATATTAGGAATATTTTGATTGAATGAATTTGGCAATACTGAGCTTAAAATAAAAATGAATTTTCATTATTCGTATGAACAATTTTACAAACATCTTTTGCTTCAGACATACTCATTAGAGGGAAGCCTAAAAAACGGCAAATACGATCACGATCAATGATATAAAATCATACAATTTTCACTTATTTCTTATTGCACAGAATTTCTCAATCGACATATACTGTAAAAAAAAGTAGAATAATAAATCCTCATTTTCATCTACGCATATTCTGGTAATCAATCATTTATATACGCCATTTATTCATAAACGTTAAGAATGGAACCTCATATATTTCATTTTCATAAATTTATTGTAGTATACAGGTTGTAATATACCTCTGGAGAGTCTATTAATGTCGTATACCCTTCAAGAAAAGAATTTTTATTCTACCGTTTCGTGTAAAAAAAATACGGTTATAAATTTGTTTTTGAAGAGTTTATAACATTAATAAATCTTTGAAAAGTATATTACGGGTTGTAAACCTTAAAGGTTTACAAAAATCTAATCTATACAATATTCAGCTGTACGCGTCTATTATTGGAGTTTTTTACATAAGCTAAATTATATTTTTATTGCATCATCTCCCGTTATCGTGAAGTATCTTCGGAAACAAAGCATCAGTTAATAAAGAGATACCCAGCAGATTACTGAATATTAACAGCTTAACATTCTAGTCATTAATTTGAAAAAATTAGCATATCTGATGTCTTTCTGGATTGGCAGGAAAAAATTTCTGATCATTTCCGATTTTCAAATTTTCTCATCTAACTATCCTCGACGTGAGTAATAACTATTTCAGATCATGAGAGACGTTATAGACTTGTATTAGCTTATATTATAGCAGCTGTTTCGTGTATGACATTTTAGCCTCGCCGAGATGGCGCTAACAGCTTGTCCTTTAGATAGAGACTAAAACGTATCACGCAACCCAGTGAAGAAAGAATATTCCGTCGACACATTTCGAAAAAGAAAATATATGATGAGGACTTTGGTTTTATTAGATTTCATTTGAAGTCTACTTCGTCGTTCAGAGTAAGTAAATATAAATCCTTACTGACTCATATTCATCAAAGGATTTCACTATAAAAAAATAATAAAATAAAAGATAAAATAGTATATGTTATGATAAAGTTTTATCTATTTAGACTTTGTTTCAACTGATAAAAATTGCTTGTGCTGTCAGACATTAACTTTTGTGCTATAAGTCGAAAAGAGATATTAATCAAAATTTTAGATACATTTCGAAGAATTTCATCAATATGTCGTCGAAGACTATTTTAAGTCTCCATACATTACCGGTTGAAATGGTCTATCGTATTCTCGATAATCTCAATCCTTCAACTATTTTCTGGTCAATGGAAACTGTCTGTCAACGTCTAAATGCTATTCTAGATAGTTATGATCGATATAAAGTATGTTTGTACTTTTCGAGACGAAAGTGTGTCCAGTATAGAGAGATATCACACATTTAGAACACTAGGAACTCTAAAAATATCACATATACGAAGAATGTCTACTAATATATTTTGAAGATATGGCATTGTTGATTGAAATAATAATACTTTATTACAATGAGATTTTTCTTTCAATCGAATGCAAATATTTCATTTCACTATAATAACGCGCTTTTGTTGGTAGAATAATTTTTATTCATTCTAATACTGCCATCTAAACACATTGATAAGATTCATAGAATCGTACATTTACCAAAGTATATTTTCTATCTCTGAATTGTATTATCAAGTCTTTAAATGCTGACTAAATTATTGACTGAATCATATTGGAAGAAGATATATGTTTTCTGTTCACTATAGGCATTTGACACACTTAAACTTCGGTCATCAAGAATTAGTGATGTACAGTTACAACATATAGCGAATGCACTACAGTACAATAAAGTAAGATCTGTTTTCTAAACATTCAATGTATCATTTATGTCTTCCATTTATCGTAGACAATTGCTAAACTCGATCTATCTCGGAATAAAATCGGAGACACAGAAGTAAAATATATCGCTAATGCATTGCGACACAATAGAGTATGTTCAGTTTAATATTTATTTATTTCGTACAATTTAAGAATATATTTTCTACTTGATTTTTAAAACTACATACACATATTCTTTTGTTCAATACATGCAATTATAGTAAGCATATTTATATTGCAATATATTGAACATATTGTCTAACTTTGAATCTGTTTTGTAAAAGGTGAATTGAAAGCAGCGTTTAAGTATTGAAAGTAAACATTTAGATCTGTTCATATCTCTCTCCACAATATAAGGTGAACGCTGTAGATTGTGGCTGATCTTATCTACTAAGATTCATTAATTGTCTGCGACAGTTTTCTTATATAAGTTGTTTATTATTGAAAAAAAATTATTTAAATATCGATTTATAATCGAAATCAAGTTCACGTTCACATAAAAACTAAAAAATACTATTCATTCAATTAATGCCCTATAGTCTATACAAGAAACTAGTATGTATTCATTTTCAAATGTTCACTGTAATAATTTCTTTAGGCAATATATAATGTATCAAAAGAGAAAAATACATTTTATAGTAGTTTACAGTTTTCTCTATTTATTCATTATATAGACACTTCGTTCGCTGGATCTTATTGAAGCTGGAATTTCTGATGAAGGTGCACACTCATTGGCTATTGCATTAAAACATAATACAGTAAGAATAATTTTCTCTTTGTTTGTTCGCTTTGTTCTAAAATATTGTCATAGACACTTACTAAACTCGGACTAAGATGTAATAATATTCAAGATCAAGGAGCATTACATTTAGTTAATGCTTTGCAACAGAATAGAGTGAGAACAATTCTTTGTATATCTATATCATATAACGATTTGTATCATTTAATTCAGACATTGATCACATTAGAAATTGCAGAGAATGAGTTCAGTGATGAAGTAATACGGTGCCTGTTGAATGTCTTACACGAAAATACAGTACAGTTATCTATCTATCTATCTATCTATCAATCTCATTATATCTATATTACTCGATTCAGACACTCGATGGATTTACTTTCGAATCGTCTAAAAGGCCTACTGCAATGGCATGGCATTTAGAGAATGCCAAACGTCGAATTATAGTATGATAGAAACTATACTTAGTATAATTTAATATGACAGTGTACTATTCTATATAGGCAGGAAGAAAGCTTGGTCTTGAGTGGTGTCACTTGCGAGATGCAGATGCGCAACTCTTGGCGAATGCATTACAAGAAAATACTGTAAAATCAATTCACTGTTTCTTTGAAATATACACTCATATCATTTTTCACAGACATTGATCAGTTTAAGTCTGCGCGATAATAATATTGGTGATAAAGGCGCAAAATATTTAGGTGAAGCATTACGAAACAATAGAGTGAGATAAATTTTCTACCTATCTCTATTGTATGCATCATTTTCATTGAATTCAGACACTTGCTATATTAGATCTTGAGTATAACAATATTAGTGTTCAAGGTGAATGGCAGCTGATCGATAATCTTCAATACAATACGGCAAGAACATTAATCTATTCATACTAAATATACACATATATAAGTTCTAAACTACAGACACTGATGGAGTTGTATGTTGGAACAGAATCATATGTTATCAAGAGAATAAATCGTATTCCAGTGATACGGCATTTCATTGATACAATTCATCATATGAAAGTACAGAAGACTTTCTTATTTTCATTTTACTTGCTATGCATCTATTAATTCAATTTAGACATTAATCACAGTGGATTTGAGCAATTGTAAAATCTCCGATACAGGGATGCAACGCTTAGCTAATGCAATACAACACAATTCAGTAAAAAGAATTTCTCTAACCTAATGATTTATTATTTTCATTAAATTCAATCGAATAAACGAGAAAGAAAGACAGTCATTAGTAGGAAAACTATGCCAACTAACAAAATTTTTACATAAATTTTCAAATTGCACTGTTATCGAACATTTTACTTGTGTTTTATGTAATATGAATTGGTATTATTTGACATAGATATTGCTGAATTTGAATCTTGAGAAAAACGAGATCGGTGATAAAGGTGCAAGGTGTTTAGGTAATGCACTACGATCCAATACGGTGAGAACGAATTTATATTTCTTTGTACGATACACATGTATTTCATTGAATACAGACACTTACTACGTTAAATCTTCAACAGAATCAAATTAAAGATGAAGGAGAATATCATTTATTGAGTGGCATAGTACACAATACAGTAGGTTTATATTATTTAACTCATCTATCTCAAATACTTTCCTATCCTTAAATACAGGCACTGATAGAATTGTATATTAATCATTCCAATAATCTTGCTGAAAGATTATCAGTCGTATCCAATATCATTGATCAGATTTCAGTAATAAAAATATTCATTACTAATTATTTTCATACGACTTTGTGTTATTCAATAAAGACATGCACTACATTGGATCTTAGCCATAGAAGATTCCGTAATGTGGAGACACGACTTTTAGCTGATGCATTACAATGTAGCACCGTAAGATCAACTTTCTACTCATTTAAAACATTTAAGTTTATATTTTATTAAATGTAGACACTAATCACATTAAGTCTTGAATACAGTAACATTGGTGATGAAGATATAAAACATATAAGTCGCGCATTAGAAAAAAATAGAGTAAGTCTAAATATCGTTACATAATATCTTTTCATTGATATCACACAATTTAGATACTCACTACACTAAATCTTGAATACAATCGTATTGGTACTGAAGGAATAATACTTATGCTGAATATGTTACAAGAGAACACTGTGCGATCAGTTTGATCTTGTTTATACTAAATATACTTTAGTGATTAATTTCAGGTACTTACGACACTTCATTTTAAATGTCATGAAAACAGCAATATTGACGCACGAAATTTAGAAGAAGCCATACGAAAATCTTATGTAAAAGAAGTTTTCTGTTCATTGCTTTCATATACATCTCTATTATGAAACATAGACACTTAAGACAGTGAATCTCCAAAACAACTATATTAGTGTTCTTGATACACGGCATATTGCAAACGAGCTGCGATTTAATAAAGTAAAATTTGTCCTTCTATTATTAAGTTTTGGTAAACCTGTATCTTTTAATACAGAGTATTACTACGTTGAATCTTCAAAATACTAATATCAGTGATAGAGAAATGAGACATTTTAGTGATGTGTTAGTAACGAATAAAGTAAGATTAGTTGACTGATCATTTATACACTGTGTGTTTGGATGAATTAATTTAGACACTTACTAATATGAATCTAAAGAACAATTCCATTACAGATAAATGTGCTGATCGTTTAATATATGCATTAAGACACAATAGAGTAAGATCAGATATATATTCATCTATTTAATATAAATCTATCCACTGAAATGTAGACACTGATAAGATTAAATTTGGAAGGAAATAATATCTCTACCGTAGTGGCACAACATTTAGCAAATGCTATACGTCAAACAACAGTAAATAGAAACTTTTTTTTTATTATTTGTTTCATTCATATTTGTTTTCATTCAATAAAGCCACTTGTTGGATTAAATTTTGAACGAAATAATATCAACGATCAAGAGATCCAAAATGTATTTCATGCATTCGAAGTCAACACAGAAGTATCGATTCTTTACTCATCTACGTGATCGAAATTTTTATTATTCAATTTAGACACTAACCACATTAAATCTTACGAATAATAAAATTTGTACTACAGCATTGAGGCAGTTAGTTAATGCGTTGGAACAAAATACAGTAAACTTACTTTTGTTTTTAACTCAGTCGCATCATTCATTTTACGCAGACATTTACAACGGTGAATCTTTCAAACAATGCAATTGGTGACGATAGAGGAAGGATGTTTGCTGATATAGTAGAATATAATAAAGTATGCTGAATTGCTCGGTCTATTTAGTCACATCGTTGCCTAGCATTCAATATAGACAATAACTACACTCAGTCTTCAACACACTAAAATCGGTAATGCAGTGGCAAAACGTTTAGCCTATGTTTTACAATTCAATAAAGTGAGATTAATATTTCAATGATCTACCTTTCTAATATAAACATTATTCAACATAGACACTGACAACGCTTCACATTGGTTGGAATAACATTAGAGATGACGGAGCTCGATATCTTTCTTATTATGTATCGTCTAGTGAAGTAGATTTATTTTTTATTTTTTATTTCACTACATCACACATTTCTTAATGATTGTAGACACTTACCACATTAGATTTAAAAAACAATAAAATTGGTTTGAAAGGTGCAAAAGATTTAGCTTATATATTGAAAAGGAATCAGGTAAGTTTAGAACCTTTCTGTTTCACTCGTCTTGATTGCTATCTATCAAATGCAGACACTTCGTATGTTGAATTTAGAAGATAATAATATCACTGATGAAGAAAAACAATATATTATCGATGATTTAGAAGTAAATTCGTCAAGAATCAAGCTTTAATAACATAAAATAATAATATCAGATATAAATCTGATATTAAAATAACTAAAAAAATTATTTTCTCTTTTTCAATAAATATTTTTCATTTACTTATTTAATTAATTGATCATCTGTTTAGAGATGACTTTTTAAGTTTTCTTTTTTATTGACGTCAATAAAAGAGATCATATAATATTACGAAATTTTGACGTCAATATATAATGCGTCATCGTCCAGCAACAGCATTGCTGTTAACATTCGATTATTTTTAAGTTTGTTGTCATTGAATGACGACTAACAAATAATAAAATATCTATTATCTTATCTCTTCTACGTCATTTATAGAAAACAAAAAAAACGATATTCTATATAAATAAATGAGTCTGAATATGATTACAAATTAAATTAATTTAAAATGGGTGATAATACCAGTAATACAATCGCAATTAATCTTGATCGAACTAATGATTTTTATTTTTCTGGTGAATATGTTTCTGGATCTGTTAATTTAAATATTATGGAAGGAAAATTAGAAGCTAATGAAATTAATCTCAC